CACTGATGTTCAACGCATCAAATCTATTCTTTAGATGATCTCTAAATTCGGGAGGGATAAAATCAAGGTCATATTTTGGTTCCCATGGAGTTGTTTTAATTGTCTGTAGTTTCAATTTGAAGTTGCATATGGGCAGTAGATAGTCTGTTCCACAATCAGCTCCTGGCCTTGTTTTGGCTAAAGATATTGAGCTTTTTCATAGCCTCTTGCCACAGATGTGGTCAATCTGATTCCTGTGTACTCCGTCTGGTAAAGTCCATGTGTATAGCAGTTGTTTGTGTTGTTGAAAAATGTATTTGCAATGAAGAGTTGTTGGTCTTGCAAAATTCTATCATGAGATCTCCAGCTTCAATACTATCAACAGGACCATATTTTCCAACTACCGGTGATTCTTCTTTGTTTCCAACTTTTGCATTCCAATCACCAGGGATAATTACTACATCTTGATTGCACATTTGGTCAATTTCAGAGTGCAGAAGTTGGTAAGAGTCTTCAATTTCCTCATCTTTGGCTCTGGTGGTTGGTGTGTAAATTTGTAATATTAACGGGTCTTCCTCGAACGTGTATGAATATTATCCTGTCACTGACAGTATTGTACTTCAGGATAGATCTTGAAACATTCCTTGTGATGATGAATGTCACGCCATTTCTCTTTAAATTGTCATTCCTGGCATAGTAGATCATATGGTTTTCTGATTCAGAATGGCCCAAACTGGTCCATTTCAGCTTACTAATGCCTAGGATATCGATCTTTATGTGTTTCATTTCATTTTTGACAACTTCTAATTTCCTAGATTCATACTTCGTACATTCCATGTTCTGCTTATTAATGGATATTTGCATCTGTTTCTTCTTGAATTGTGCCACATCAGCAAAAGGAAGTCCTGAAAGCTTTACTCCATATACATCATCAAGATCAGCTCTATTCTGAAGAGGCAGCTCTTTCCTAGCTGTATTTTGAGTGCCTTTGACCTGAGGGGCTCACCTTCTGGCACTGTATCAATTTTTCAGGGCTTTTTTTCAGTAATATATCAGTGTTTCACTGCTATTCATAAAGTTTTCACTGGCCAATTCTTTGAGAAGTGGATGGCTTCTTCCTTCTTCAGAGTCTGTCTTAGGCTGGAAGCTTCACTGAAATCTGTCCACCATGGCTAACCCTGTTGGCACTTGAAACACTGGTGGCACAGCCTCCAACCTCACAGCAAACCACAAGCCATCACAGGACGACAAACTGACAGACGAGTTCGTCTCCCTTAGCTATTCCAAACTGTTCCACTCTTGCTTCACAGCCTTCCCTTCCAGTTCAGGCCCTCTAAAAGCTGTCTGCTGCCACCTCCCATAATTCTCTAGCAGTTCCAGCCCTCCAAAAAGTTATTCCCACCACCTCCTGGTCTTCCCTACCAGTTCTGGCTCTCCAAAAACCTAGATCTATATACAAAACTTTTTCTTCACTCATAGCAATATTCAAGAGATGTGATTTCTGTTCTGAAATTAGGAGTGGGCCTTATAATTATGATATCATATAATATTAAACCTGAGTAGAGTTTTTATCAATTTATTTACTTTGGTGGTGCAATGCCTAAGGCATTTGGCTGCTAATCAGAAGGTTGGCAGTTCAAACCCACCAGCTGTTCCATGGAAGGATGATGAGGCAATCTACTTCCATAAAGATTTACCACCACCATGAGTTGGAACTGACTTGATGGCAGTGAGTTTGGTTTTGGTTTTGCAAGAATAAAGATAGGTTAAGTTATGCCATAGTAACAAAGAAGCCTCAAATTTCAGTGGCCTACAGGAGCAAAAGATTTTTTTCATTCTTAAACTATATAATCACTGTAGAGTGGGTAGGTGTTTTCATTCCAGGAATCAGCCTGATAGAGCAGCCACTGCTTGGAATCTTGCCAGTCTGCAGGGATGAGGGAAAGAAAACTGTAGCAAATCACACATGATTTTTAACATTTCCCCAGAAATGACATGAATTCTATTTTTTGGTCAAAGAGTGTAGAGTAGTCCAATACTCCATGTGCCAAATATTAAAAATATTCAGTGAATAGTTCAGATGACTAATTTACCCTTAAGTTCACAGATGAAGAAATTGGCATGTAGAGAGATTATTTCACTTACAATATCATGAAACTGATTTATGTGGACTCACTGTCCCTGCTTTTTCTAATAGTAAACCAGAAGCTACAAGTTCCCTACATCAAATAAAATTCACTTATAAATTTTAATATCAACGTTTTATTTATGTAAGTAATATAAACTCCTTACATTGAACTACAAGGAACTCTTGTGCAGTGGTTAAAGCATTAGTTACTAACCAAGTTTGACGGTTCAAACCCACCAGCTATTCCATGGGAGAAAGATGAAGCAGTCTGCTTCTGTAAAGATCTAAAGCTTAGGAAACCTATGGGATCAGTTCTACTCTGTCCTAAAGGATTACTATGAGTTGGAATCAACTTGAAAGCAATAGGTTTTGTGACATGGGGTCCCTAAATCCATATTTATGTCCCTAAAACATCAATCCTATGGTTTTTATTGCATAAATTTGCAATGGTACTATATCTCAATAGTAAATTTCTGTTACTAATCAGGTAAGTAGATAAATATATGGAGCCTGGTGGTGCAATGGTTAAGTGCTTGGCTGCTGTGGTAGTTAAGGTTGTATGGTAACTTGGCTAGGCCTGGTTTAATGGCTAGGCAGCTGGATGTAGTTATTCCCTATGGTGAGATTAATAATAAACTCCATGGCGGAATCTACTGGAGCAGCTAAGTAGCTGCTTTAGGGATGTGGGCTGCTTCCAGTATAAGCAGCAATTTTGAGGAAGGTCTCGAGTTGGTGGCATGCTTGGTGGCATGCTTGAACCTGCATGTAGCCGAGTCATTGTTCAGCACCCTGCCATGTTGCCCTGCCAATCTTGGGACTTTAAATGGACTTGAATTAATGGCCTGTCATGTGCTTTGGTAACATTGGGACTGTGCCTTTTCACTTGTCGACCTTGGGCTTGTCAGCCTCATCAGCTGGCAGTTGTCTGACCAGAGATGGCGCTAGCTTCAGTGGGCTTGGAACAAGAGGCAGAGCTGAAGCCCAAGGTCTGGGGCTTTCACCCAGCCCTTAGAGCCTGGCACTGGAACTCGGACTTTTAACCTCCAAAATTGTAAGAGAATAAACTCCTGTTTGTTCAAGCCATCCCATTTGTGGTATTTCTGTTAGAACGGCACTAGGTAACCAAAACAGCTACTAACCAACAATTCAAAAATACCTACAAACTATGGGAATAAGACTTGGCAATTTACTTCCATAGAGATTACAGCCAAGAAAGCCCTATGAGGCAGTTCTACTGTATCACATGAGGTCACTATGAGTTGCAGTCAATTTGATGGCACCCAGCAACACACATATGTGTGTATGTAAAACCAGTTGCTATTGAATTGAATCAAATTCACAGGTGCCCCATGTGTGTCAAAGGAGAACTGTACTCCAAAGTGTTTTCAGTGGCTGAGTTTTTGGAAGTAGATAGCCAGGTCTTTCTTCTGCAGTGTCTGTGGGTGGATTTGAACTTCCAGCATTTTGGTTAGTAGAGGAGAGAGTTAACCACCCAGGAAGCTAGTGTTTATAGACATAGTAATATTAAGATGCAACTGAGATATTTTAGCATGAACAGAAAAATCTTATTTTACATTTTAGAGGTGAATGTGCCTTAATAAATAATTATTGAATGTACTAGGAAGATCTTATTTTAAAAATGCCTATCAATTTTATTAAATAAAAGCCAGTCAATATGTCATCCTATATATAGATGTCTCTAAAGTGGGTGAAGATATTTCATTTATCTTTTAAGATAATTATACAAATTGTATTCAACCCACACATACCAAGTAGGAAAATAGTTTTTATCTCTTTTTCCCCATTTTTAAGCCTTGTCTAACAAGAAATAACCAAGATTTAGAATGGGTAGTATAAAGGTGAATTTTGGCAAACCTTTTGCAACAGAAGAAAATCTGTTTTCCTCATAGGGTCTCTCTTTTCTTTAACAAGGGCATATAAAACATGCAGCACATTCCCAGAGCTTCTGAGAATTTCTCCCTTGAGAGATCTCAATAAATACAAGGAAAAACAACTTCAGAAAAAGAAAGAAGAAAGAAACGTTCATCACTATTTGCTTCCTCCCTCCCCACTCTTGCCTCTTATTCTTTCTATTTTCTACATATCTCTTCTCAGCTTCAAACATTATTCCTCCTCTGATTTTCCCAAGGTGAGCTACTTTCCCCGGCCCTTCATCTATGAAAGGGGTGGGGAGGAAACCTTATAGAAATCAAACCAGGATACAGGGCTTATTTTTTAATTCCAGCAAGAACAGCACGTGGAGAAGGAGAACTCAAAAAGGCATCCACGGGCACTCCCCTTTGCTTCTTGTGCCTGTTGTCAGACACTCTTACATGCAAATCCAAGGTTTTCTCAGGAATGCGGTTGGCAAGTATGTTTTTAGTAAATAATCTCTGAATGTACAGTGTTTAGAAGCCTTGCTTTGAGTGCACACAGTGGTCATTAACAATCATTATGTACCCACTCTTAGGGTTCAAATGCAAATTCTCACAGCCCTATACCAAATTCTTGGGACCCTTGTGAGTGACTCCAACTGCAATCACACACAAGCCCAAGTCTGTCTTCCATTTATCAGAGCACATCGCAGTGTCCTGAGTGCACCTGTACACACCCCTATGCACACATTAAACCTATAAACCACAGGTTATACAAATGTGTACTTTTCTTCCTCCCTGTCTCACCTTGTTCCCTGTCCTTTTCTCCCAACCCCCAAATCGCACCCACACAATGGGATTTTTGTTTGCTTCAGTAGCATGTGATAGTGTAGTCCCTGCTTTGCTTAGCTCTGTGCTGCAGGTCTCTCAGGTAACAGGTGGCAGCTTCCCTGTTGGATTCTAGGTATAAAAAAGAATGACCTCATAGGGGTGGAGCTCTGGAACTCCATAGAGGTAGCAGTCACAGCCAGGTAACCCTGGAGTGAAGCTGTTTAGTTAGAAGGGGGCAGTTAAACTCATCACTCTAGTGATTTTAACCTTCACCCTGAGGCACCTCAGCAACCAGCCATTGCCTGGAAGCCTGTAAAGCTTGTGCTTACCACAAATGGAGCCCAAAGAAGCCACTGGGAAAGAAAACATGGGCTCCAAGAGAAAGAATCTGACCTTCTTGAGGCCCAGACTCTATATGTTGGAGAGAAGGAAAACTGACACTGTGGTTGAGAACAATGTTTCTGGGGACCAGTCTGGCACCTTGAGGAGGAGCCAGTCTGACAGGACGGAGTACAACCAGAAATTACAAGGTAACCAAAAGCAATCAATTGTCCCAGGTTACTGCACCCCCAGCTCTGTTTCTGCTACTCTTCCATTTGCAAAGAAAATACTTAAGGCAGAGAGAAAAGTAGAATTCTACCTCTCTCTCACATAAAATAAGAAAAGGAAAGTACATGTGATTCGTAAATAATAGGAAAAACATTTGTATTGTGTGGTTAAATAATTAAAGGGACAATTCCAAATTATTCGTAGTATTGCTGCTGCTTTTCTTCTGGTAACGATGATTTTTTTTTTTTTTTTTTCCTGCTAGCTTCCTCTTTTCCTCCCCACTCCAATCCAACTTAAGAAATGAGAACACTGGAAAACAAATGATTTAGAAACTTATCAAAAGATTGTTTATTCCAATAGATAGGTGTGAGATGTTACACCACGAGATCTAGGTAGGTAATTGTACTGAGCTATAATTATGGTTAACTTACGTAGAGGCATGAAACTACCAATCATGTCTGCAAAAAAATAAGGAATGCAACAGTCAACCGATAATATAACAGGATTTGTTGAAAATCACCTAGATGATCATTCCTTTAGAGTGAATCTAATAACACCCAAATATGGTAAGGGCTGTTTAGCATGCTTAGGTTGAATGGCTTTTGAGGTAATAACCTCAGTTTATTTTGTGATGATCCTAAGATAATTTGGCACAGTTATTAAAACATGTCTTCCGTTTTAGGCCCTGGATTTCTATCCAATCTCATTCACCAGCCCCCCTTTTTTTTCCTTCTCCAGAAAGTCGTTTGTTCTAGTAATACTTTATTTTGATGTTGATATGGTGCATCATTTTATGTATCCGCCGCGGTATCTGTCGTATGATTCCTCAGAACCTGTTTCTCTTGCTTTTAACACAATGCTGTTTGAACTCTCATAAACTCACCTTGAGGGGTCATTTTAGACTTAAAAACTATGATGATGTTAGAAAGACCAATCATGCACATGCTTTTGATTTGCAGATCTCCTTCCTCAAAAATGTGCTTGGACTTAGTTTGCAGATTAAGTAATTAATTAAAATTAAATCTTAAAAAAAAAATATTGCTAGGAGTTAATGCTTTTTAAAAAAATCCTGGTAGCTTGGTATTAGTTAAGGTGCGTAGTCGCATCTTACTCTAAAAAAATTTTAAAAGACAACTCAGGGGGTGAGGGTAAGAGTTTTAATCTTAGAAATTAATTTTTCTCAAAGCACGGATACATTAGAAAGAATGCTAATATTTTTAAATCTTACACATTTGGTTTCCAATTCTGGCTCTCAAGTTCCTATGTATAAATCTTTGAGCAAATTACTTAAGATGGTTGGACCTCAGTTTCTCTATCTGTGCAAGTGGGATAACAATACTTCAAAATGTTTGGGGAAATGAAATTTGATAATTTCAGGAAACACCTAGTGTACTGGCTGGCACATGGTATGTGCTCAATAAATAGTAGCTATTAACGTGCTTAGGAGGTCCTGCATGGTGCAAATGGTTAAGCTCTCAGCTGTTAACCCAAAGGTTGGCAATTTGAGCCCACCCAGAGGCATCCCAGAAGGAAGGCTTTACAATCTGCCTCCAAAAAGGCATAGCTATGAAAACCCTATGGAGCTAGTTCTACTTGGCTATACATGGGGTCACCATGAGTCAGAATAAGCCCGGATGGCAAGTGTTTGTTGTTGTAGTTGTTAATGTTCTTGGTTACTAACCCGAAGGTTGGAGATTTGAGTCCACCCAGAGTTGCTGTTCTGGTTACCTGGTGCCACTCCAACAGGAATATACCACAAATGGAATGGCTTTAACAAACAGGAGTTTATTCTCTTATAGTTTGGAGGCTTTAAGTCTGAGTTCAAAGTGCCAGGCTCTAGGGGCTGGGTGAAAGCTCTTCAACTTTGGACTTCCACACTGCCTCCTGTTCCCGGCCCTCTGAAGCTATAGGCTTTTCTTCATTCAGACAGCCGCTGGCTGCTGAGCTGACAAACCCAAGGTCGACAAGGAAAAAGGCACAGTCTCAATGTTACCAAACCACATGGCAGACCATTGATTCAAGTCTATTGAAAGTCCCAAGATCAGCAGAGCATGGTAGGCTGCTGAACAATGACACAGCTGCAATTAGGGTTCAAGCGTGCCATAAACTAGAGACCATTCCCAAAGCTGCTTCTTATATACGGGAAACATACTCTCATCCCTAAAGCAGCTACTCAGCTGCTTGTGGTATATCCCACCATGGAGTTTGCCAGTCTCATCATGGGGAATAACTACCACCAGCTGCCAGCCACTTAACCAGGCTCAGCCAAGTTGACACACAACCTTAACTACCACAGGTACCTTGGAAGAGAGACCTGGCAATCTACTTTTAAAAAATCAGACACTGGCAATCCTGTGCAGCAGAGTTTTACTCTGATACATATGGGCTCACCAGGAGTCAACTGGATAACAACTGTTTTGTTGTTGTTGTGGTTGTTGTTGTTTAATTTTAAGAATGATGTTGTTGTTGCTATGTGCTGTTGAGTCGGACCCAACTCACAGCGACCCCTCCTTAGGTTCCCAAGGTGGCATCACTATGGAAGTAGATTGCCCAACCTTCCTTCTGAGGAGTGGCTGGTGGGTTTGAACTGGCAGCCTTCTGGTTGGCAGTCAAGTGCCTTAGGCACTACGCTCCCAGAGCTCCTAATAGGTATAATAATATTAGAACAAGACTTGCCTTCTAGTAATCCAAGTTCATATACCTTACTAATCTTTTTAAATTCTTTTCTGTCCATTTGGTGAAGAGACCATAATTCCACAAAGGAATTCAGAAAAATCTTACTGCTTTATGCCTAATAACATGTTTCTTCTGAGTTTCACTAACTCAGCATCTTTTTGGTTCACTTTTTCCATTAGCAAAGCACAATTTTGAAATACTTTTTGCTAACTAGAATTTGAAATATAATTAAAAAATTAAAATAAATTTGAAAATGCTTTCTGCTGTTCATTAATTGCTGCTCACTTCCTAAACTTACCAAAAAACTGAGTCTTTGGCCACAAAATACAGCAGATGTTTTAGTTACTTTGCAGAACCCACAAGCTTTTTATACACTTGATTTGATTTTTTGCTTTCCCAAACTACTGGATTCTCCTTTGAAGGTGGAAGGAAAGACTCTGAAGTTAACCCCTATGGTCACTGAACCATCTGTGCTTGAGAAAAACACCAGGGATCACAGAGGAGCACATAGGAGCTGTTAAAATAGGTTGCACACCCAATAAGTAACTTTTTTTTTTTTTTTTTTGGCATAAGGCATTTGACTGCTAACCAGAAGGCTGGCAGTTCAAATCCACTAGCCACTCCTCGGAAGGAAGGTAGAGCAATCTACTTCGGTAGTGATACCGCCTCAGAAACCCAAGGAAGGGTGGCTGTGAGTTGGATCCAACTGGACTCCATGGCAGTGAGTTTGGTTTTTTTTTTTTGATAACATTTTGGAAAATCCCAATCTAATGCCTGCTAGTGTTTTTTAGCAACAATAAAAGATGTTTTCTCATTAACATTTAAAGCAATCAGTTCTGTGGGTTTGTTCTCTGAGAAGTATATAATAGCCATTATCATGCAAATAGCTTAAATCACCTTAAGAAACTCTTTATTATTGAAATATAGAAAGCAGTTCCTCAGCCTTCCTTGGAAGTGGTTGTCCCTGGGAGTCACCAATAAAGACCTGAGCAAGGTAGAGTTCTTGAATAGATGGCCCCCAGTCCCTGTGAGGTAGCAGTGTGCTTTCCAGTAATGGAATTTCTGGCACCTCCGCAATCTTCACACTGTTTAGTGGGTTGCCCTGCAACATTGTGCTGTTATTTGAGTGAAGCAATTCGCTGTTCTGACACTATCTGGAAGCAAGTTCTTTGGATTCTGAGAAATACAAAATCTTTCTTTGTTGCCCTTAAGCTTGCCTTTTAACTCACACTTCATAGTCCAACTATTGACTTTCTGACAGACAACACTTTAATAATGTGAATCTGTTTTAGTTAAAAAAAAAAAAAAAAAAAGTACACCGGTTGTGAGTTACTAGATGGGATCATTAGAACATGGTTCTAATGAAGCCATCTTAGATGCTTTTTAGAAGGTTGTGATTGCACCAACCTAAGTATTTCTACTAAACCTCATGTTGTACAGTAATAGTTTGATGCTAACCTACTGTTGGTGGCTCCTTCATTCCTTCAATGGATTAATTCAGTTAATTGGTATTTATAGAATATTTTATATGCTGTGTCTTGGGGTTATAATTGAAACCAAATCAAATTCACTGCCATAGATTCGGATCTGACTCATAGTGACACCTCTTTGGGTTTCCGAGGCGGTATCACTACGGAAGTAGATTGCCCAATCTTCCTTCAGAGGAGTGGCTGGTGGGTTTGAACCACCAGGCTTCTAGTTAGCAGTCAGATGCCTTAGGCACTACGCCACCAGAACTCCCAGGGTTATAACAATGAACAAAAAGAGACTATGTACCAGTAATTATAACTACAAAATCATTTAAAAAAATATGTGAATGATCAGACAATATCTTTTACTCCAAAGAGATTTAAAGTCTGGTGGGTAAAGATGTTAGGGGCTGTCGAGTTAGCTGTGTCTCATAAAAACAAACAAACAAAAAATAACAAACTTACTGCCATCGAGTGGGATCAGACTCATAGCGATCCCCCCTTGGATTTCGGAGGCGATATCACCACGGAAATAGCCCAATCTTCTTTCCGAGGAGTGGCTGGTGGGTTTGAACCACCAGCCTTCTGGTTAGCAGTCAAATGCCTTAGGCACTATGCTACCAAAGTGCTGTACCATCCTTACAATTCTTGCTATGCTTGAGCCCATTGTTGTAGCCACTGGGTCAATCCATCTCATTGAAGGTTTCCTCTTTTTTGCTGACCCTCTGCTTTATCAAGCATGAAATCCTTCTCTAAGGAATGGTCCTTTCTGACCAAGTAGATGGGATGAACTCTGGCCATTCTCACTTCTAAGAAGCATTCCAGCGGCACTTCTT